TGTGCATGAGAGGCAAAAAAAAAAAAAAGCATACTGATGTTATTTTGTTCTCCCCATTCACTGTGTACATTTGAGGAAACATAGAGAGTCATAAAACAGATAGGTTTTCTAGAGCTAAGACCTCAACAAGCGAGTTTAGAGGAATTTCTCCAGGCATAAGAAGACAAGAGAATAAGAAAAAATATTTAAAGATAGTTTAAATTTGTCAACAAGCATTCAGTTTTCAATGCAAAAGCAAGTAGTTAAGGGAAATGCACCAATTTTAACTGAAGTCAGAAGTCATTAAGAAATAGACTAACATTCAGGTTAGTTTTTAGTTTGAACAATCCATGAATCCCCAATGTAGACTGCCCATGGAGCATGTACTTTCTTCTGCATGTTACCAATCATAAAAAGTATGTTTTAGCCTCTTAAGAAAATGTCAGTCTTTTATAGATGCTGAACTGCATTCTGTCAATACTACCATGGAAGCTTTATGAAATATACACAGTGCAAAAAACATCAACATCTAAGAAATGAATTCCAAAAGACCCATTTCTAAAGTTCACCCATTCTAAGGCACAGAAAAAAAAATACCCTGATATAGTACTCGTCTATACTCAGCACTGGCGAGGCCACACCTCGAATACTGTGTTCAGTTTTGGGTCCCTCACTACAAGAAAGACATTGAGGTGCTGGAGCGTGTCCAGAGAAGGACAACAAAGCTGGTGAGTGGTCTCAAGAACAAGTCTGACGAGGAGTGGCTGAGGGAACTGGGGTTGTTTAGCCTGGAGAAAAGGAGGTTGAAGGGAGACCTTATTGGTCTCTACAACTACCTGAAAGGAAGTTGTAGCGAGGTGGGGGTTGGTGTCCTCTCCCAAGAGGCAACCGGACAAGAGGAAATGGCCTCAAGTTGCACCAGGGGCAGTTTAGGATGGGTATTAGGAAACATTTCTTCACTGAAAGTATTACAAAACATTGGAAGAGGCTGCCCAAGGAAGTGGTGGAATCGCCACCCCTGGAGATATTTAAAAGATGGGTAGACGTGGTGCTGGAAGACATGGTTTAGTGGTGGTTTTCGCCGTGTTGAGCTGATGGTTGGACTCTATGAACTTAAAGGTCCCTTCCAACCTAGACAATTCTATGAATACCTTGAAATTTCACGCTACTTTGAGAAAACACAACATGGAGATTGCTTTTGGGTATGTCTACTTGAAAGAGTCAGTGCTTTTTTCTGCTATAGCTCCTTTGTCCCACTTCATGTGACATAGTTAAGCCTTCCCATATGTCTTCGCAGTTAGCACCGAAGAACACTGAAATATTATAGTCTTCCCCCTCTCCCTGGCCCCTCAAGCTGAAAGGCTCCCATACCTTTTAATTACAATTTGCCATTCTATTTACATTCTTACCTTGGAATATTCAAAGGTAATCAGTATTCACGTTGTCCAGGTTGGCTTCCTACAGCTACAGGCAGAACTAGGATCAGCACAGAGCTGCAGGTCACTCTTCATCATACATGAGCTTAAGAGCAGAGAGCTATCCCAGATAATTTGCAGTTCAGAGGATTCGGTGGTCCTTAATGACACACTGGGTAACAGAAACACTGAACTGACAGTATAGATCTGGCACAAAATACCAGGCACAGTCATCAACGTCTAGGGCTGACCAATCAGAAGAGTAAGTTTGGGGATAGACTAGTTTTCTTTATCTTACATTTCTAAGTGGTTTTGGTTTTTTCACAGGTTCCTATTTAGAGACACACATAGTTTGCATAAAACTATTGGGAACTGTTCCAGAGTATTCCTACAAAAACTGATTCTCCTCACTTGCTGACTCTAGCCCAAATCTGTGGTGAGAGGGGCAGAACCAAGAAGTCTCAGGAAATACTTTTTCCAGTCCCTATTTTCAAGCCTTTAGTCTGAGTAGATTTGGACCATAGCAACAAAAAAGTTCTTGTATACCTTAATGTTTTTTGCCTGATAAATGAGAATTAGTTTCATCTGTAGAAGGGGAACTAAGCTCAAAGGGACCAGCAGGTGGTCATACCACAACCCCACACAGTTCCCAAATGTACGTGCTAGAGCATGAGTTACCCAACCAGTTGAATTAAAATTGTAAACAACTGCAAACAAACTTTTGCAGATGTTACTCATGTATGCTTCACACCCATAATTTGCAAGTCAAGTAATGCCAATATTTATGTACTGTAAGTACATAATTGTGTTGCTACGGAACATAACATTCCCCCTGTAACTCAGGCTCAGGATAAAGAGATTTAATTCACTTAAAAGCAGAATTCTGGTTGAGACTTTACATACCTATCATAATGTACACGCTACTGCAACTTTTACACTCATTATTATGTGCGAATAGTCAGTGATTTCAGTGAGACTCCTTATGTTAAAAGCTGTTTTTAGAAACACTGTTATTCACTAAGTCAGTGTCTGTCATCTTTTATTATCAAATGTTCTAAGTTTCAAGAACTGGACTTTACCATTAGAGTACAACGGTCAGCTTTCGAAAGCACAAACATGGGCCAGAGTCCTGCTGACTACAAACTGGAAAAAAATACTTCAGCTTTCTGAATCTACTGAAGTTTAACAATACCACCTGTTGCTTCCTGAGTAACAGAGGTGTTTGCTTTTCAGCTCAGTGTGATGCCAAGTGCCATACCTCTAACATCACGACCTAGCAGAAAAGAATTAATACTACATCTGCTAGTTTCTACAAGGAAAAAAAAAGGAGGGATGAGACAGTGAAGAAGTTTCAGAGATTATTTTTTTTAATTCTTATTTTTTTTTTAGATCACTTAGTTATGGTCAGGTTAATACTTTTAGTTCATTTTTTTTTTTTTTAATTCCCAGAATGAAAATTCCATTAAGATGCAACTGGGATTAAGAGCCTATATCTATAGTTTAGGAAGATAATTATAGTGTCTCTACCACAAGAACAAGCTTTACAAGCTTTTTTAGTAAATCCATGTAACAGCCATATGATTAGAGAACATTAAAGTTTAAAATCTGAATCGCAATTACAGCAGTTTCTACTTCTAGGTGTATTATATCACTACAGGGTCAAAAAGACTGTTTAATTCTCACCTTCCCACTTGAATTACCTTTACTCCCAATGGAGACTTTTCTAGAGTTGAAACCATTTTCTCTCATATGGTATGATATTGCTGTAACATTTTTTTCCACGTAATTTCATGGTATATACATTCAAAATTAATTAAAAATTTCCATATAAACCCTCAAGTATTTAAAGAATAAAAATTAAACAAGAAACACATGAAGTGTTACTACAGAATAGTATTTGAAGCAGAGAAATATTTGAACATGCAAAAAATATTGCATATTTACCAGAACACCCACAGCTGTTATGCTGCTTAAAAATACAGCAAAAAAGGTACAGTTAAATTTACATCCCCTGTACTTCCGTTTCTCAGTCTACTGTAACATGTTCACTGACAGGAAGTTGATTTTTAAAAAACAATTATTTAATCAGCAGAAGCTGAGGAACTCTCATCTTCAAGAAATATTATTTCAGTTCTGAGAAGACCCTCCTTACTTATCGATAGCCTAACTTCAAACTCTGGAGGCAGGAGTTAGCAGCGAAGAACTCCCCATTCTGTCCAAAGTCACGAAGCAAAAAGAAGCGGTACTTCCTGTTCAAAAGGGCATTACAACGGACAGTATTTATTGGCCATGTGTCCTCCCAAACGAAAATACTCCCTTGCATGCTTTGAGAAAGAAAACACATTTATTTATTCATTTATTATTTTATGATTGCGTGTGTCCTTCTTCCACACACAAATCCACGTTTTAAAATAGAAAATGATTACATATATCAACACAGCTGGGGAGAAAATAAAATCTTCTAGTTTTGGAAGACCAAAAAAACCTTAAAAAAATACTTCAAGCAAAACTATCATATAACACAAGTAATTAGCTACCTTCGTGTGAAATTTCAGAGTGTGATTTAATTATCTGAATTCTTTAGGAATAACAACAAGGAAAATAATTTAAAAAAAATTCTTAAAACTGTCAGACTGCTGAAAATATTCTGAACACATATAAAAGAGAATTGCTATTACAACATGCAACTGCTGGGTCTTGCAAAACTTATGGAACTCAAAGGGAAAGGAGAAATACAAGCACATTTCCCTCTCCAGGTCCCTCTTTCTCTCATTACACCAGTTCTGGATTGCGACAATGGTGAGACAGCTACTCTCTTCACCAGCAACGGGAACGTGTTATGCAAAAAGCATATGAAAAGGCCTTAAGCGTTAGAAATGGGTATCCTGGATAATCAAGTCATAAAAGCTTCATTTAATGGAGATTACATGGATCCCACTATTGCCAACTTTCACCTAATAGCTAAACACAATCTTTGCTGTATGCACATTTTTAAAAGCCTAAAATTACTGAGTAACCTATAACAAGAGGTAAGATAAACCACACCTAGCATCAACAAAATGAGTAAGCTCCATTCACAGTATGAAAGGGCAAATTCCTACCAAATACTACATTGTTTGGGTATATGGGGGTGGGATCGGAGGGGTACTTTTCTTAACTAAAAGAAAATCTCACTTTTCCACATGGTATAAAGGCGTTCATGCTTATAAAGACCACCCCAATGCCAAATTTGAAGGTTTCAGAAAGGTTCAGTCCTATAATATGATAGAAATTTCCTGGGAGAGTGAAGAAAGAAAGAAAAAACAACCCACAACATTTAATGGTGCTCTGTTTTAAAAATCATCTAGAAGGGAATGCATCTAGGTTGCTCGTTACCGTCGTGCAACCCCAGACCTCCATCTGAGAGGTTAAATTCCCAGTAATCAATAGAAAAATTTTGCACTTGAAGGTTTTACTTTTCCAGATGTAACCTTAAAAGCCAATGAATCATCTCAAGTGCAGATACAAACTGGAACAAAAGCCCCGTTACATTTATAGGACGAAACATCAATACTGAAGAGTTAATTAAAATAAGAACTTTGCCTTGGTTTCAGTGTTATTACTCACCCGCTTTGGCCCACTAAAAATCTTCCTGGTGTTTTCCTTAGATTTATCACCTTGTTTATTTGTGGATTTCTTATTGCCTTCAGGCACACCAGATGCATCCTCTGAAAACTCCAGAAGATCTGTAAAAGGTAAATATAGACATGAAACAACCATATTGGAAGCTGTTGAACTGCTACAGCATTTCTTGCATCTGTCATTTGTACGTGTACAGCTTCTGGAATTATACAATAAACAATCTGCATCAGAAAAATCAGCTTTAAAGCCAAACACAGATCTGGATAGAGCTCAGGTTTACTGACTGGACTGTCATAATGCATAGAAGATACATTACAAGGTACACGGTCACGATTATTACAGCACCTCTTGCCCACTGTGTAAACTTCGAGTTATTATTTCCCATTTTATACTCCTATGAATCCCAGGTTACCTTTTTATACATGCTTACTTATGGCTTACTGCTACAACTCAGAGCAGCAGATGAATTAACCACTACATGGGGTTCTTCAAAGTGTGGGATGAAGAGATTTAGAAGAATATTTCCCACTACGATTAGAGGACCAAAGAAATGATCCTACTTCACTTCTCATGAAGGCAGCCTGTTTATATTTGCTTATTCTGCCACAAACAGTATTAAAAAAATATGGTCATCAGCTCAGAAAGAGTCAGCTAGAAGGAACCGCTGAAACAGCCTTTCAATGTATTCAATACTTGCCTTACCAGTAGTTCCAGAACTCAGTTTTGGACTGTAAAACAGTAATTCACTGATCTAATTAAATTCTTGTTTTTGTTTTGGTTTTTTTTTGTTTTTTTTTTTGATTTAAACTTGTGCTGTATTTGAAGCATTATCCCTTGGAGACCAGCTTATGTTCTTGTACTTGGCACAAACCAGAAGTTACCATAAATTTCAAGACGGAAATAAAGAAAGGCACAGATAAGCACCGTTTCATCTGATAAACAGTTTAAAAAAACAATCTATTCCAGAGAAGCTTCAGCTATTTGAAAACTGCACTGCAAAAATGCGAGGAGGTTGGATTGATTACTCTAATCCCAAATTCACTCACATCCAGTAAACAGGATCGGGCAAGTGCCTAGGTAAGGAGGCAATCAAAAGCACATCAGGCAAGCAAATTTCTAACAGCCTGCACAAGGACACAAAACTTACCTAGTCTGGGGACAGAAGTATTCTTAAAATAAGACTCAAAAGTTTCTTAAATCACACTAAATGTCAATGGGCTTGGCAGCACCAGGGCAGGCCAGAAGCCCACCGCAAGGCACCTACTGGAACCAGCCTCTCACATCCCAGCCCACTGGTTTTCAGTTTAGCTGTACTATGTCAGCACAAGAGCTTAAGAACACAACGTAAACAATCTCTCTGAAAATAACAGACTTTAACAGACATTTTGATAAAATTGGTCTAACAGAAGACAAATATTACAAACCAATTCTCATTAACTTAATTAAAACAAAACTACTTCCAAATCTCTATATAAGTCAACTTAGTTCTTTGCTGGAACTTACCAGTTAAAGGAGTCAAATGAAATTGCTTTGATACACATCCTTACAAATCCAGGAATACTTTTGAAGAACCCAGGCCCTGAATGCAATTCCCAAAGAAAGTCAAACCAAGAGAACTGGACCCTCCTATTGTAGACTAAAAGCTAAAAAGTAACAACTCACTTGACTACAATAATTAGAAACATGCAAGTCACTCGAGAAATGCAAGATGTGTTTTCACCCAGCAAATCAGCACGGTAATTTGTGTCTTGCACTAAGATGTGGAGTGAGTATTGTGGTTAATATTGATTAATAGTGCTCTATATCAACTAAGCCACAATTTTAAAATCATGAAAGTTTGTATGAGTTCTACTCCTATGTGATCCTGAACTATCCTATTTAAATTAGGTAATTTTAAATTCAAGGAAACTTCTTGATAAAAACATTTCAACTCCCACTTACAATAGGATAATTTTGCACTTTTTATATTGCTAGCACATCAAACACCTTTATGATTAGTTTTGTAAGATTATCTGGAATACTTTTGTTTGCTCTTCAAGGCCTTCTAGGTATCCTAAAAGCGCTCTGCATACATCTTACCAGGTGTTCAAATCTAAACTAAATAGGGTGTGGGGGAGAAGTCTTTTGTTAACATTAACTGGGCCAGGAGACGACATAAGTAGTTTGGTAAGCAGTGACACTAATGAAGCTTGTTTTCCACTGACTCTCTCTTGTATGGATGTTTCCCCCGCACCCCCACTCAAGAAAAGATGAGCATGTTGACCTTTTCCTCAATATGGGAGCATGTAAGGCCTTTTCTCCTCTATCCAACCATTTTCAAGGCATTTATAATCTTTGAGATAATTTGCCTGTCTCAGCTAAAATTGGAAAGATATTCAAAGACCAACTAGAAGGCACCGCCACAGTAAGTTTCCTGGGGAAAAACAACTCAGTTCTGTTTTAGTGCCTGAGGGTAATTCTGCAGAAGATTTTGAAGTCCAAACAGGACTCTGCCTTTGAGGACTCTGATGTACTCTTAACTGGCTAAAAATATTTACCCAATTAAGGTGAGTCAGTTTTTGAGGAGAGGCAAAAGAAGAAAAAAAAAATAGGGCAAGTTTGCTCACCAGAAATGAAGAGTGCTAGATGCAGATACATAAAAGCTATTTTATTGTACAAAAAGATTATAGGAATCCCACCTTGATCACTGAAAGCAAAATGAATGCATGACACAAAGGTTAAGTTGGATATTAGAACTGATTTACAAAGCAAAAGGCTAAGCTGCAATACTTACACTGCAATAACAGGATAACTGCTCCTATAATTTAAATCAAGAATACTGTAGCTCATCATTCCTATATTGCTTATGAGATATATAGTGAAGAAGGAGGTGAACCAAATAAAAATAAGCACGTTAGGATAGATCTTCATCCCTTCTTTTAGCAGAAGGTTTCAGGGCTCTATCCTGTTTATGTCAATCTACATAGAGATATGGGAATGTTTAATTTTAGTCAACATTTTTTTTTTTTATGCCTGCCACTTTCTGTAATAATTTTATTGTCATTGGCCAAAATGAAATGTAGTATACCAAGCGTTAACAAGGTGTCCCAGTTGAACAGGTGGGAAATAAAGCATTCTGAGTCTACAAGCTCAGAAGTTAAATATATTAGAAATCTTTGCAACCACTGACAACCATGGTAGGATCTTTAGAAAAAGAAAGAAACAAACTGATAGAACAGTTATTTCCAGAAGTACAACACCTTCCCAAAGACACAGGTTTGCTCTTCAAAACTGAAGCTTAAAGTTATTTTTGGTTAAGCCTTACTATACCTTGGTGCATCCCACGAGTAAGAAACCAAGGAAATGAGGGAGGAGACCTGCACGGATGAGCAAGGAGCTTCTGGAAAAACTCAAATGGAAGAAGAAAGTTTATAGAGGGTGGAAAAAGGGATGAATGAATATAGGAACGTTGTCAAAGTATGCAGGGATGCAACGAGGAAGGCTAAGGCCCACTTGGAATTAAAACTGGCAAGGGATGTCAAGGACAACAAGAAGGGATCTGTCAAGTACATCAGTAGCAAAAGGAAGACTAGGGAAAATGTGGGCACACTGCTGAATGAGCTGGGTGCCTGGGGATGCAGGATGCAGAGAAGGTGGAGTTACTGAAGGCCTTCTTTGCTTCAGTCTGTGAACAGTATCTAGGAATTTAAAAGCCAGAGCATCTCAAGGTTTGGGGTTTTTTTTTAATTTTTTTTTTTGCCTTTGTTTGTGTTTTTTGGTGTTTTTTAACCATTTCAGCAGAAAAGCCTACCATACAAGTAAACAACACAAAAAATACCTCAGTGAAAGACAGTCTAACTAAAATTGATTCTACTTCGCATTCTTTCCTGCACTAGCAATAATATTGTCCATCTAGTCCTTAGTGCTTCCCTAAATTTCACTTGCAGAAACATTTAAATATGTATTATTAAACTTATTTTCCCTCAACTGTGAGCTACTAGACTGGAAGAAATAGTCCATTTCCAGTTCAGTCAGAAAATCTTTGCATGACATTTTATACCAAGATTCTAAAATATGCTTCATAAAAGTAGGCCTAGGTTATGGTAAGTAAGCAAATCAGTATTACGGCAAAAAATTTTGTAAGACTGTAACAGAAAGCATCGTATTTCTTGAAAAACTGACTATGCCATATAACATTCTTTGCACATGGAATGTCAAAATCAGTCTTAGGAATTTCCGGGGCTGCAATTCAGAAAGGCAATCTGACATCTCACCTGTCAACCTGGAACGGGAACATTGGATTTTTATCTGTGGATTTATGCATTAGTACAAAAGAGAACAGCGCACAGAACTCAGGTAGCATTAGGACCTCTCAGTACTGTTCGTAGCTTCATGAAAAAGTTTTATTGCACAAGATGTTCTGAAAGCTTTTTCTGAGGCTTGGATTCAAAACTGGCATTTTCCATGGACACATAAATCACATTTTTTCAGTATGTAAAGATGATACCTCAAGGCAGTGTCACGTATTTTACCACAAACTTCAGGCTGAGATGCAGAAGTCCTTGATAAATTCTCAGACTCAGCATCATTATATATAAGGACCTTAATATGGCTATACTGAGTGATTACGATGCTCAAAATTGTCAAAGGTCTGAGAGAAGAGAGCATGAAATACATCAAGGAGTCATACAAATTTTAGGGCAACAACTGACTCCCTATTTTTATAATCCCTACTACAGGATTGAACTAGGGAATGTGCTGCAACTTAGGAAAATAACTTCATGTCACGCTTTCAATTTTCTGAAGAAAATAATGGAAGTCAAATCTCACCTGGCTACAGCAGCACAAAACAGGAATCAAATGAGCAAAGGAGATGGAAAATAGAGGAAGGGTCTCTCAGCAGGGGCACCGAGAGGTAGTTCTTACCTTAGAAGTGGAAAAGCACACTAAGAAACTAACAAAACACAAATTTACATCTACCTGTGCCATGGGAATCTCTTAGGAAAATATTTCAGACAAAATCTGATACCTCAGAGTATAATGGCCTCCTTGGTAAAGGTAGTGCTGAATGCAAACTGTAGATACTTTGAGACTCCAAAGGACAGCAGCTGAAAGGATTATTTGATGGATCAGCATCTCAGCTGCATTAACTGTGTAAGCGACTTTTTTTTTCCCTTGGAATAAATGGCTGAACAAAGACTCGACAGAGAAAGCAACTCAGATGGAGTATTTCATAAGCAGCCCTTTAAGTTAAACCCATTTTCAAAAGAAGCCGGAAAGCAAGTGTCCCATCGTAATTAAATTTTATGAAAACAAATCAAGAGATTTTTTTGTTTGAAAACACAAATCTTCTCATATAATATCAGTATCAATTTGGGCCTTTTAGAATTTACAAAAAAACTTAGCAGTTACATTTACCTTTGATTAAAAGGCTTACAAGACAATTTTGGTTTTAGAGACCGCTATAATTAGAACAGAGAAATAAACATTTTTTCTTACGAAATTTTATTTCTGGATTATATTAGCAAAAGCTATTTGTAGGAAAAAACAGCTTCTCCAACATTTGCACGGCTAGACTTGAGTCCTCCCCTCTCCCCATCACAATGAAATACATCTTGCCAAAGTCTTAAAAATTAATAACTTCGGTGAATGGATAAAAACCTGCTCATGCTTCATGCTCCAAAATGGAGGACCAAAAAGTTCCCTAGAACAGCAGCAGTGTTTTGAAATACTTACTCCAACATGCATGATTCTTTGGCATTAGACTTTTTCAAAGAGAAAAAGCTGAAAGAAATCTTTCAAAGTTATTCCTTTTCTTCTTCACCAACACACCTCAACCTTAACCAAAGTCATTACGTGGGACCCAACCAACCACCAAGCAAGTCTAAAGCACTCAAACACCAGAACGTGCTCAGCAAACTCTGTGTGAAAAGTTTTACTCGTGTGTGTGCACGTACACTCAAAGTCAGCCACCTGACTGGCACTCAATGGGTCCCCACAGCCCCTCCCTTGAGCCGCGCATCCTCGGATAAGATGGAACTTGAGAAAGGCCCAAACTGTTTACAAACGCATTCAAAAGCACAAAAAGAAAAAAAAGATACTTCACATGTCTGAGAGCTACTCAAATTTCCACAATCAGGTCTGTAATTCTGGGCTGATGTGGAGCTTCTGTGGTAAGATATGTGCCTTTCAGGCATAGGTACTGTACACTCAACACACCAAAAAAGTAAGAATCTTCTGTTCAAAAAGAAAAAACCTCTACTTCTGGCAAAAGATCAAGGGGTACAAAACATACTTCAAAATAGCTGTGAAACACCAGACAGGACCACAGCAGAAAGAAGCACATTTAACTTTTACATTTTCAAATCAGTAATACCATTCAACAATCTCCTAGGTACGCTGCAGAAAGAACAAAACATAAAGGTCAACTGAATTTAGATGTTAAGCACGCATTCCAGAAGAGTTCTGCTTACCTGCATTTGTACTGAGCTGGCTATCCTGGGAACAGTTTTCATTGCTGTCAGAGGTTGACTGTAGTGAAGAAGACGGTGCAGTTCTACTTCGTTTTTTGTTGGCTTTCCTTTCTGCTACCTGCCACTCTTCGTCTTCATCCTCGCTTTCACTCAAGTCATCAAACCCAAAGTACTTGATTTTGTAATTGGAACTCCCAGAACTTCTAGAGGCGCCTTCATCTCCCCCTCCCTCATCTTGATCATCAAACCCAAAAAATTCTAATTTGACATCCTTTTTGGATTTGGTATTGCTTGGTCGAAACCTGGTTGTAGTTTTTGTAGTAGCAATGTCTGCTTTTTTCCTCAAGCGTCCAGCTTCTCCCAAGTCAGTAGGGGCTGCTGTGGTGAATTCATCAATTCGTTCCATGGTATCCTGTATAGTAACATTGCAAACCGACAAGCAAGATGGATGTAGAACAGTGTAGTCTCTAGTCCGTCCAACTGTCCCTCTAAAACTGGTCCCGCTACTCAAAGAAACTTTTTTTGCTGGGTTCAGACCATCATTATTTGACTCATTGTTTGCTTTGGATAAAGACTGACTAGTGCCATCCATTAGCTTGTCAAAATTTGTTGCCCCCTGCGGTTTTGCTTTGTTGGATCGACAGTATGTCCTACAGTTGCTTGGCCTAGGAATAGTTTGCACAAGTTCTTCACTAATGGCTTCCTTTGGATTTTCAGCATCTTCTTTATCACCCTCCTCATCCTTGCTCTTCATCTCTGAGAGATGTTCATTGTCAAAATCTAATATATACTCTCCAGTTCTGGTATCTTCAGTTTCATCCTCCCATTCGTACAAGTGAGTTCTTAATGGCCCCTTCGTCTGAGATGTTTCTGATAGAGAGTCGGCTGTTTTTCCAATGTGGGAGTCCCAAGAATCAGGCAAGATCTTGGTTTCAATGTTGTATCCTGAAGTGTCTGTAGTTTCAGCATTGGTTTTGTTACCGTCTTCAGCATTCTCATAGATGAAATGACTGTTCTTCTCATTATCTTCATTTAAATTCTGTATTTTATCTACAAGAAAAGATAAATTTATTACTAAAAAGCATTATAAAAAAAAAGTAATCACCCTTGTGGACATCTTTGAAAAGTCACAACGTAACAGCAAATATTCAGTCTTCTATGACAAAGAACATTAAAGAGGTCCTTATCCTCCTGGTTTACAGTTTTTAAGCCTTCCAGTTTAAAATTTTTGGTATAAAAAAAACCTTCTCACCATTTCTAGAAAAAATATACACTAACTCGAAATAAGCGCCACTTTGAAAGCATGCACATAATGAAAAAAATACCAAATCCTAATTACAACCACTTATCTATACAACCTACACAAAAAAAAGGAGTCTGCAGTGAAATTTTCAGTGAAGTCAATCACCATTCAATGTTTCACACACAAGTGACTGACAGGGAATAATCAGAGATAAAGAGCTATTATAAAGTATCTTCTAACTATGTAATAAAAATTGTCCTTCCTGTACATCGGTTGTGCTGTGTTTATTGTTATGTAAACATCTCCCCCAGTCCTTGTTTAGATCAAGCTATTGCAACTACACTAGTGTTTCAAATGAAAGTTTTGCGATACAGGTTTTAGTGTCTGATTTACTTCAGGTGCCCTACTTTAAGCACTTTTTGCTTTTGCACAGAACTTGAACAGGTAATACCATTGGAAACACAAAACGCGTATGAATCAATGAATTAGCTAAGTCTGCACGGATTCATTTTTAATACTACAAGATGAATTATAGTAACCTACTGTAGTCAGGAAAGGGGATGCATGGGCAGGTTACAGCTGCTCCTGCAGATACTCCTGGTCTAAGAACTAGATAGTAGTGAGGCATCACCACAGCAGAAATGAGAACCAGCACGGGCCACAGAACCTACCGATGAGGTCGAGTAAATTTGCTGAACGTTATCCTGTAATTCATTTCCTAATGCAGTAACTGTAGAGCTACCAAAAACAGTGAAAGTAATCCACTAACATATCTGTACTAAAAATGCTACAGTCCTTGTTACAAACTGTATCAGAAGTTTTGATCAGTGTATCCTGGACAGAACGGCACACAACCTCAGCAACTTTTATTTTATTTTGCTGCTTCAAATTAAAATAGTTGGACTTCCAGAAAAAATACAAAAGGTGCAAATCTCAGAGTTTTAAATTAAATCACTTCTCAAATGCAGGTTTTCACAACGGACATCTACAGATCTGAAGAAGAGCTGCTACCAAAAGTTAGTCTTACACTTCTCCAACCCATAGCCACACTTGCATCTTACGCTGTCAAAGAGAACAAACGCCACTGTAAGAAATCAGTTCTTGTAAGGTTTGTTTCCAGCTGACCAATAGTAATGCCAGGAAAGACAGTACTAAGTCTTCCACGTGTTGTCCTCTAGACTGGTACAGGAACCATTCCCTTTGATTTCCCTGAGTACCAACAAAAGCTCGGTGGATTTGGTACTAGAGTTTCATGAAGATTGCATCCGCATCTGCCATACTCTGTTGTTGCACCTCACACGCACACAAAGATACCCAGAAATACAAGTGTGTTATTTCCTGGAAACAAGACGAGCAGAAATTTCTTTGAAATTTCTGAGACAGTACAAGCAAACCCAGGAACCAAGGTGTCAACCGTTACTATCAACACTCGCTGTACTGGCTGCCTGGCCAGGAGAAGGAAGATAAGAAGTCTGACTAGAATGCAGAAGACCCTGACGCATGGAAGAGTAGCACATGATGAGATAAAGTGGAGAAACAGAAGCAACTGGGACAGTGACAAGTAGAAAAAAAATAAAATCCTAGAAGAGAAGTTGCTTAGAAGACACAAACACAGAATGCTACAGTAATAAAAGAGGTTCCACTGGCAGAGTGCAACCCCTAAGGTTCAAATTCGTTAGGCAGCAAACGCTTCCTAAACTCACCAGTAAAATGAAGGCTTTAACATCCTTTAGCACTAGTCCTGACTGCATTAATCTTCCTCAGCTACCATTTTCCCAAGTGGCACAGAAGTTGCATAGCACTGACCGAAAGGTTTCAACCTTCCGCATGAGGAAAATGAGCACCAGTACTGTTCCAGGGGTTTTTGTTCATTTGTGTTCAAATTAAAACAGCATCATCTAAATGCCATCCTTGCACATATGGTTTATAAAAGAACTTTTAAGGTGCAAGCAGACGATTCTAGTGAAAGAAAGACTACCAAGTCAAGTTTTGCAGGAAATTGGTTTAATCCTAGCTGAAATTCCTCAGGCAGGCAAGACAAGTAATATCTTGTGAACTGCATCTAAGCTTTCTGGGAGCCCAGCTGAGGTCTGTCATAGACATTTACATACTCAGCTAGAAATAAAAAAAAAAACCTCTTCACAGAATATATCAAATGCAAAACTAAATTCCCCAAAGAACATCAGTCCTAGCCATCTCAGTGATGGAATCTTGTTTAATCTTTTCCAGTATCAATACATTATACAAGAATCTTGTTATTCCCATTTCAGTCTCACGCTTGTGATAATCTAAGGGGCCCAACCAAAATTAATCAAAGAGTGAGTTTGACAGTGTACAATATGTTCCTTCCCCCCCATATGTTTAATATTATTGTGCAATTAAAGACTACCATAATACTTAGGGATGAAAACCAGCAAATTAAACTCAAAACATTTTCAGGCTTTCTCGCTAAAATACACTATTTTGTAGCCTCACCACTACTGTCTGTATCTGAGTGCATATTTACTTGAATTAATAAAGTCTAAGCAACATTTAAAATACGCCTGTCTTGGCTTACTAAACAATACTACTTCACTGAAGCCTTAGGAAGAAGTTTCATTATGTGTATCCGGAAAGGGCACAGTTTTCCTGTCCTAAGGAATTCTGGGATTTTTAAAAAGATGTATTTCATACCAGGACCAACTCAAATCTCATCTTCCCAGGGAAGGAATGGAATACATGCATGTGTATGCATATTACAACCCAAGAGTCAAATAATTCAGGAATCTGTTTTGAGATGAAAAAAAGCTGAAATTTAATTTTACATTGTCTTAGCTTGAATCATTATCATCTCAGTTATAGTTTGTACTCCCAAGCAGAAAGGATGATCAACACATCAAGCCTGGAAAACAGATCAAATGAGGCCAAAGAGATATAAAAATATATATAGCTCATACACATCAGTAGCATTGACAAAAAATCAATGGAAAAAATTACCAAGGATTCTCTCTCCAAAGAAATGTCAATCAACAATTCTGAAAATGGTTGGGGTTTTTTGTTTGGTGGGTTGCTTTTTTTAAACACTCTGCTACCAGTACATCACAAAAATCCTGACTAGCCTATAACACATGCTTTCATATACGTTGTTGTAAAACTCCTGATTTTTAATACACAAAATGTAAAGATATTCACAGAGTGCATATTTAAATCTTTCACTTAATATCACTTAATCTAAACCAAACTCCCTGAATTCTTCTGTTCATTCATCAGTTCGAAGCAACGACTAGCAGTTGAAACCACTTTACTTTTTCAGTCCCTTGCCAGGAAGTTACTCTGTCAGTAACCAAGAGCTAAAGCCATCATCTACTAGGTCTTTATAGGAAAGATGATCCTTATGACACTTATATCAACTACAGGGCTGTTTATATTTAAAAAACATGCATTAGACATTTCACCAAGGAATAATAAATCCAAACAGATAACTAAATTCACTCTTACTGAAAATATTCATTTTGATGATGTAGTTACATACACTGAAAAACTATTCTACAAATTGTTCTAGAATATTTTAGAACACGCTAAAATTAGCCTAATACTTGTAGGACTCTGAGCAAGCAACACAGTCCCATCTAGTTGTCTGTGACCTATTAAGGGAACAAAACGTTCTATTCTTTTATTGCAGCAGCCTCATTTGGACAAACTGAAGCATCAGTTGAGAGATGCATCATGACAAGAACAATCCTTCTTCCCATCTATTTTCTCCATTTCAATTTTTCTGTACTTGCTGCACTGAGGTTGTTACATTTTTTCTTCCCAGAGTGGCTCCTATTGTCATCTCCAATTTCACACTTACCCAGCCTGACTGCTCTTCTCGTGCTCCTTCCCAACAGTTCCAAGTACGAAACTGAAGAAACTGAGCTAGCTATTAATTCCTCACTGCCAGTCTCCACCACCAAAAACATACAGATACTTCAAGGCATTAGTATACCTGCGTATTAGTAAAATTTGATCAGACTGGGTTACGGCAGTGGCACCACACATCTGGTCCGTCCAGCCTTGAATTCATTGTTTCCCTTTCTCTATAAATGTGAGTAAAACCACCTTCTCCAGCCAGCTCAGCCAACTAAGAAATAACAAATCCATCCTATCCCAGTCAAACAGCTTTACTGATGCTTGGTTTACTACCCTTCCAAGAAATGATCTTAAAAGCTAAACATTCCTTATTAACAGCTCTTTCTGTTCCCACATTAGGACTTCTGTTGCCTTTGTATACGCTATGCATAGTTTTAAGTATGTGCATAACCAACTTAAAATTTTGAGTTGTTTCTGAAGAGACTCCACAAGTCTCAACAAATGTTACATCTCACTTTTCGCTCTCAGCTAGTAATTTAATACAGCATACTAAGTTACACCTAAACAGCAAATGAGTGGCAGTTAACCTACCCCTTCATTTTGCACCTATCAGACACAAAAATTTCACCGAGTAATTCACAAGTCTTAGTAACTGCAGTGGGGAGGTTTGTCCATCTCCAATAATAAGCAGGGCCGATGGAAAATGTAACCAATAAACCGCTTACCGTACACCAGGTAGAAAGTCTGGCTTTAAAACTGGATCATCATAATGCATTAGTGGAAAAATAAGCAGTGACTTCCTTGAAGGATACTTTGTCAAGCCACTGTTTTCATCTCATCGGTAGGCCAAGAGCTGTCAGACTGAAGCTTCTATACCAGAAGTTACTGCAAATCACTTGCTAATTGCCCAAAGGTGTACAATACCAGTAATTCTGACAAATATAGTAATTTTTAAAATCAAGGTTATCTGTAATAA